GGGGGAGCTTGTTCTTACCTTTTGTGAATTTGAAGCATCCATTGGGCAGTTTTGTAGTGGTACAGGAGTTATCAGCAGTCCAGACATCACTTTAGATAGTCAGATGTAATCAAGGGTCCTGCATGTGCATTTATTACAGTTGTTTAGGAGACATGCAATTGAAAAAGCAGTCAGACAGTCACTGCCTCAGCTGGGGTTTAAGGGCCTTGCTCAGTGGTTGAATGGTGATATCACTCCAATAACCCAGGGATTTGAACCTGCAACCTTCTTTTCACAGCCAAAAGATCCCAACCCAATGAGCCCATTTTGTGTGTCTGTTACTGTATGCACACAAGCGCTCGTCCAAGTATGTGAATCTAAAGATGGATAGGGGACCGTATGCAAGGATTTGAGTGTTAATGTGTTTTTGGAGCAATCCCCCAAGCCCTCTCTTTTCACACTATTATCAATTCTGAAGTCTGAAAGATCTGTCCCTCCTTGCCTGAAAAATTCAGCCCTGACACCAAAGCGGTTTCCCAGCGGCCAGATTCCCACCTTCACACTCTTTCATCTACTTTAGACACCTGTGGGCCCTGGAGCCCCGGAACGTGCATGTGCCTCAGTAACTAAGACAGAATACTTACAACGACAGAGTGCTGCAGTAATGTATGACTGACCAGCTGGGGAGATTGGCGATGATGGTTGTTTTTCGGTAGATGCTATGTGCAGTTAGAGAAGCTCTTCATTCATGATTTGCATTGTGTAGCACTGCAGTGTCACACCTCCAGGGCTGGGGGATTGAATCCTACCCTTGTTGAGTGTGTGTGTGTGTGTGGATTAGGTTTATATTACTTTGTGGGGAGCATATGTCCCCCACAATGTAATAAAAAACAGTTTTTATGACATTGTGAGGACCATTTATTTGTGAATGCAATCAAAAAACTACAAATGCCAAAAGTGTCATATTTTGTTTGGTTACTTATGGGTAAGCTTAGGGGTGGGTAGGGGTTAAGGTTGTCATGTTGGTATTGGAGTTTTCCCCATAGAAATGAATGGAGAGTCCCCACAAGGATACAATTACAAATCTGTGTGTGTATGTGTGTGTGTATGTCTGTGTGGAGTTTGCATGTTCTTCTTCTGTTGCTTGGATGGATGGATGGATGGATGTGCATGATGTTACCTTTATTGCCAGAAAAATATATCTTTTGGAACAGTTAGTATGTACAGAGGTATTTCCACAATGGAAATCCCAAGGTGAGGGGAATGCTGACATGCTTGGGTTATAAAGTGCCACAGGGGTGGTGGTCCCCTCTGCTTCCCAGCCAGGCCTTCTCAGGCCCCATTTACCGCCCCGCTGCTCCCGCAGACCACCCTCGCAAACATTGTCAGGACCCGCCCGGGACCTCCAAGGCTGGCCGGATTCTGCCTGCCTGCTGTCATGAAAATGCTGCAGCATATGAACGAGTGTGTGGGAAAGAAAGGGGGAAGGCGAAGGACTGGCCTTCCTTTTATTTATAGTGTGCTCGTAGGCGGGTGTAAGGGTGAATTGCAGAGGATGTGCTTTTGGGGAAGACGGATGAGACTCCTAAAACAGGGCTGGCAGAGTGAATAATGCCTAATTAAAATGATGCGAAATTTAGCCTTGAAAGAATAGAATTTCCTACTGGCAACTAAATAAATAAGAAAACAAAAAAATGCTTATTATGAGCTTAAATCAGGTTACATATGTTGCTTAGGAGACAATGTTTTAAAGGGGATCCTGCATAACTAAGTGTTTTACAATTAATGTTTTTCTACAGCAGGAGATTTTCCAAAGCAGTTAAAGCAAAGTACCTTCCACACTGGAAACAACAGTGGTGTCATGGCTGAGATTTAAACCTACAACGTTCTGGTTGGGTGATCCTAATGAGCGATCCCATTATCCTCCGTGCAAGTCCGTGTCCCTTTTCACTGTGCCACTGCCAGCATGCCATGCTTTTAACGACACCCCCTGGCCTGTTTATTGATAACTGGAGGCAACACCCAGCATAGATTGCATCAGGTAAACAAAACTACCCCACGCCAGGCTGAAATCGCAAGATGATAGATAACTGTGAGCTGGAAGGGTGCCGCTGCATCACCCGTAGGCAATATGGGTGTGTCATAGTCACATGGTTACATTCCTTCACATGTTTAATATACCCACGTGTTGGAGTTAAGGCATGCCTTGATAATACCTCAATAACTGATGTTTTAATTGGTTCGTCATTTCTGATAAATTTTCAGTGTTTTTGAAAAAAATAACTTCTTGACCTCTAAGCAAGCCAGGATTATTTTCGGAATTTTTTTAATCCTATTTAACGCCACAGATAGGATTATGCACAGACATTTAATAGGGCTACAACACTCCCTATCTCTCTAATGGCTTTAAAATTGTTATAATATGGCTCTCTATTGCTTGAGTATCTCCAAGAGTTACATTGCAGTAAATGTAGTCTTGTCATGAGCGTAGGTTTAGAATCCAGGATGCATGTTATGAGCATTAAATTATGTGGGAGGGGGCGGCAGTGTTGTTGTCCCCCCCATATTCACACAAAACTTACACCTATGGCAGCACTTCTAATGAAACACCAGTTTCAGTTTTGTTCAAGTTCACACCTGACCTCATACAGCAAAAATGTGTCTCTGTGAGGGGAGGGGGGGGAGTAACACGGTTTCACAGAAGAGTGAATGGTGCGTAAAGTGCGTAGGGTCCACGAGACGTGAAAAAATGCAGAGAGAATCTGCTCCACTGCTGCCTGGTGACAGAGAGGATAGAGGGGAGAAGGCCAGCTGTACAATAATGGGCAGTCACAAGATAAGAATGAAGTCCCGGGGGGGGGGGGGGGGCCTGAAAGGCTTAGCATGCAGACTTGGGGAGTCTGGGGGGGTGGGGAGGTAAACTGACCCAGGACAAGGGAGGGATCCTCGCTTCCACTGAGTTTGTGAAAAATTAGAAGTGGACTCAAAGATGTGAGCAGGGAGGAAGTGTGTGTGTGTGTGTGTGTGTGTGTGTGTGTGTGTGTGTGTGACTTTTGCTGACCTAACAGCATTACTCCACCAAGGGCCCAGGTGACTCACATAGACAGATAACAGGCTGGTACACTTGGGAGTTTGAAATCCAAACAAACCCCTGAAATTTGCAATGTACTACTTGCATGTTATTTTAGCTCCTTATAAGCCACCCGATTCAAACACTACATGTCACCCTTTGTTCTTATAATCGGAGAAACATGGGTCTGTTTTATATTCCAGAGTAATGTAAAATGACGTATACTGACATTCACCTTCTATGATTTTTCAACAGTAAATATTTTGCCTTTGTGGTACGTGAATTTATAAATTACCGTTGTATTTTCACCAAAGAATGTTGAACAAGCCAAGACAAATGAGTACTGAACAATTTATAAAATATATCTATAAATCTCAGAGTGAAGCACTCTTTACACAATTGCATAGATGATGCTTCTGAATATTAATGAATGAATTAAAACAGTAAAACGTTTTGGGATAAAATATTAAAACTTAAATATTAAATTTAAACATTTAATTTCATATATATATATTTATATATAAGTGAATTGTTTTCATTCTTTTGAATTATTCAATAGTGAATCATAAGCATGACGGGGCCGAACTGTACAACGCCGGTTTAGTAATTAACCATCAAGAAGAGGATTCACATCCGCTTTATAAAAAAGGACAGGAGTGTCAAACGACAATGCATGTTGGCCAATCACGTCGCAGGACAGTAAAATTGTAATCCAATAGCCTGGCGCGTCTGGATGTGAGGCGTGGCCATGTTTCGCAGCGGCTTTTGGGCGGTCCGATCACTTCGCCGTCTGAGTTTATTGAGAATGTGGAAGCTGGGAGGCAGGGAGGAATGGCCGCATGATTAATGCATTTATTTTTCCCCATTTAATCATATACAGGAATTAGGAAGATAACACGAAGCCCACTTGGACTTATTTCTTTATCCGTGGAAATATGAATGTAGGGCGACAATCACATGGAAGCGATTCTCCGTGGATTGAAAAATAACTTTATTTATTTATCGTGTTTACGCCGCCGTGGCTCCGCGACTTCTCGTTGATTAAGCGGCCGATTGCGCGTGGAAAGGTGACTGGATCGCAAGGATGGATCAGGTGACTATCCTGAAGAAATTCATTCAGGGGGTTCATGCCATGCAAGCCGGGGACCAGAGGGGAGAGGACAACTTCGGCAGTGACTTCATGGTAAGGGCGCTCTGCACCCGAAACAGCCGACTTTGCACTAAGCGATTACCCGAGGGGGCTCGTCAGGGCTGTACATTGCCGACAAACAGGCACTTCTGGCTAATAAAGGGGATATTAGGTTTCCTGGGGAGTCCAATTGACAGCTTTGTTTCTACCGAGGGATGGTTCTTTGCGGCGTTCCACGGCGGCATCGCCGGGCAAAGCGAGCGGCATGGCTTGCGTGCTCCCTCGGGCTCCCCAGTCTGGTCAGGCTGCGAGCGGCCTAACAATGCGACCTCCCCCAGATCACTGATCGCACCATCTTCTCCCTGTCAAATGCGGCGCCTGCCCTCTAATTCCACCCCGGCATCTACACCCCGCGGCCCATACCGTCGGCGGCTGGGGGATGATGGCCAGCCGCGTTTTGTTTTGAAGCGCATGTTGCTGGGTGAGGTGGTAAATCCGTGCAGGCTGCCCTCCTCCGTGCAGCCGTGTTCCCCCCTGGTGCTCCGTGGGCACGCCGTGTCCCGAAGCCGCCCTTTAGACCCCGATCGCAAGCTACAGCTTCCCAAACTCTCCCCCGCTGGGGGGTGAGTGCTGCTCGGTAATCACCCACCCGACAGAGCAGCTGCCGTGAAAATGGGTTTTGACACGTACGTCTGATGCCTGATAACTCTGACAGCTGTCTGTTCGGCGGTGGGGTCGAGGTGGGCTGCTGGAGCTGCAGTTTGGCTGCTTTATTAGGCTGCAATAAAGGATCTGAGTGAAGGAAGGTACGGCTTCATATTGCTGCATATTGATGCATCTTTACCATCGGGGTATATAATTATATTTCTAACTGGATGCATATGGCCAAATATGCATCAGGATTGTTATTTGCTTTGTGTGATTGTATAAAATAATTCGATACTTAAGTTAACACTTGAACCCTTTTTTGTGATGGCTATTCTTGGTTGTCTGACAGTTTATAGACCGCCTTTAACAGTTCCTTTCTGTTCGTATGGGAGGACGGTATGACACCCGTTTGATATGTATAATAAGCGCCCACTGAACACATTTGTATTACGCAGTTGTTTCCCCTTTCCCGTATGGTTTTTGTTTATCCTAGCGCTAAGTCTTTGATTCGCTATAAAAGGGGACAGTGTTGGTTTGTCATCCCGCTGGAGCAGGTTTCGGGCGGGGGGGGCGTCCCAACCGGGGCGGGGGGTAGCGGAGGGGCTCCATGCCCCGCCGCCGTCACCCGGATAACTGGTGCAGGCTTGTACCCTGTTGCTCCGTCTTGCTCCATCTTGCGCGGATGAAACTGCTCTGCTGAGCCCACAGAGTTGCGACACGGCGTTTTCATAACGCCGTACCTGTAATGCGGTGCTGGGCCCATCCAGGGAGCACTACTCCCCCCCCCCCACGATGGCCTACAACCACAGACACACATGTCTGCAGTCAATGTTTCAGTTTGTCGGGACTCGGCCGCCTTGGTGAGTTTGCCCACGCAGAAGATAGATAGATAAATAAATAAATAAATCCAGCACTCCCGTGGAATCGGGGGGCGTGTGTGCTTCTGGGTGCCACCTAAAAACAGGATGCAGGAAGATAAGCGGTATAAGCAGTTGTCACATGTCAGAGCACCGCAAAGGCATAGAGACGCGTGGCAGTGCGGCCTCCGCGCGCAACTGTCATGCAGACGGCCTTCACTGCGATCTGTCGGCACTGGGGAAGTTCAGTTCAGCTGTCATTTTTTTTTGTAAAATACTTAATTTTTAGCGTTTTACTTATTACCCGTTTTCATAGATTGCCTGACTTCCTTCAGCTTATAGGCTACTTAAGCAATTTCTGGTACTGAGGAAAGTTTCTAAATCTTTGCAATATTTGCTGTTCCAATATCTAGGGCACCTTACCACACAACGGTGTGTGCCTGTTTTAACAGCTGCTGACTGTCTTGGCTCTGCTAGGCCCCTTTTGTTCACTGCACCTGTCCTCAGCCATATCGTTAGGGGCCAATTCCTGTCCACCCTCTGGTCCTCTGTGCTGGGGAGCAGAGGTCTGGGCACAGGTGTCCAGCTGTGCTGTGTGGCAGAACCCAGGGTTGTGTGCGTGCGTGTGAGAGCGAGAGAGTGAAAGAGAGAGTGAGGAGGCTCGCTTGAAGCCACTGATTATTTGCGGATGGAAAATAAGACAGCGTTTTAGAAGAAATTCACAACTGATTGCGACTGCACTACCATGAGAACTCTTGCATCAAAAACCGCTAAGATCTTTTTTGGGGTCACTGTCACGGCTTGATGAAGTAACATGGTGAGTAAGACTAGACTCTGGGCAGTGGTGAGCTGTGGTAATTCACACTGGTTGCCAGTCCACTTAAAGTATGCAGTCCAGCGTGGCTGCGTGACCTGTGTGACCAAGGGGGGGACAGGTGGGTGTGTGTGTGTTAGTCCTACGCACAAACTAACAACCCCCCTACAGGTCTGTTCGTTTCTGATGTTCTGGTTTGTCACCCTCCAGTGTGACTGAAAGTGACAATGCTGACATGCTTGTCATTATTATTAGATGACAATCCCGCTGTCTGCGTGTCACTGAGCTGCACGGATGTGTGTAATTCACCAGGCGTATCACGCTCACTGGCCACTGCCGCACCTGCAGTGGTCACCTTTTGAGCTGAAGCCAGGACAGTGCAACCCCCGCCCCCCCCCCCCCCCCCCCCC